TTGTCAGTCCGAAAGGCATGACGGTGTACTCAAAGGATCTGCATCTAGTGCGAAAAGTTGTCTTGGCGCAGTCCGATGGTTCGACTCGAATCTGATGGTAACCCCCCCGTAAGTCGATCTTCAAAAACACTTGGGCGGTTCGCAGTTGGTCTATCCGTTCGTCAGCGCGGGGAATCGGGTATCTCGATTTGATGGTTACTCGGTTCAGTGCTCGGTAATCAATACACATGCGAAAATCTCAGTCTTTTTTTGGTGTGAACAGTATCGGTGCGGCAAACGGTGACGAGCTCGGTCGGATGAACTGCTTCTCTAACAGGTAATCTAACTGCTTCCTGAGCTCATCAAGCTCCGGCTGTGTCAGTCTGAACTGGCGGTGTACAGTTGGCTGTGCCCCCGGTTCTAACTCTATTTTGTGGTCGTGCGCGCGCTGAGGTGGTAGTCCTTCTGGTAAGTCATCCGAAAAAATCCCCGGGTACAGTTTCAACCGTTCCTGTAGTTCGGGCAGTACAGCAGCTAGAAGTTTTCTGCAAATCACTCGGCACCTCGGCTTCTCCCACTACTGCTATATCCACTGTGTACGCGTCAGCTCCAGCGGTGACAGCCCGTTTCATCGTGATGGCGTTGACGTGGACCGTTGAAGACTCGGGCGACTGCCAGCGAGGTAATTTGACCCAGTTACCGCTACTTCGCACAGTGCGGCTGCCCGTCGTCCAGTCAATTCGTGGGTTGTATCGTCGCAGCCAATCACGTCCCAGAAAAATGTCGTGCCCATCCAGTGTCGTCGCGAGCATTTCCTGTGAAAACCCGAAGTTCCCCCCGCAACGGACTTTTACTCTCTCCACTTTCTCCTGTATAGCCAGAGGCGTGCCATCGACTAAGCGTGCATCTATCCCCGGTAAACACCGACTAAGTGTCAGCTGCAGCTTTCGTGCGGTCGCGGTATTAACTAAACTGTGACTTGCCCCTCCATCCATAAATATCTTTACTTCTGCTCCCTGTATTTTCCCGTGGATCAGTACTGGGCAATCCATCGCTATACCCTTCTTATTCATCCGAGCCCGATCGATGGCATGAATCGGTACTGTGACTCGGTGAGGGTCGGTGAGGTTGGGCGAGCAGGTAATCTTGTCAGTAGTTGGCCCGTTTTCTACTGACTGCTGGCGTTTCCCTGCCTCTGAGAGTCCCTCCCCTGCTCTACTCCACGACGCCTTAGTTCCTCTGGGCACTCGCTCTTGCGGTGGCCCGGCCTATTGCAAGCAAAGCAGTGCCCCTTAAACGGCGCGGCAGCTGCATTCGTCGCACCGGCATGTACGGTGGCGTGCTCAGTCGATTCCCGAGGGCGATGTCCGTTGCAGGACCCCGGCCTCAATCGGCGCAATATGTCGATTTTCTCGACGAGCGCGAGAATCTCGTTGAAGTTCGAGAGTCCGGGTAGCATGATTTCGTGCGAGATGTCCGGCTTCAGCCCTCCGACGTAACGGTCCACCCGCTCCGCTTCGTGCATGTAGCCGACTTTGTTCGCATAGGGCGAGAAAACCGCTCGTATAGTCTTGAATCGGCCCGAGCTGTCGCCAAGTGCGTAGTCTCTGACTCGCCGAGATTGAAGCTGCGATCGGCTCGAAGCGCGCCCGAAACCCTGCGCACCACAGATCCCACATGCTGTACTGGGCGGTTTTGCAGAAAGAACGCCAGGTAACGGCCGGCCCCGTGGGCTCTTCCTCTTGCGACGGTGGCTCGTAGGCGTGCGGCGATCGCTCGCCACCAGTCCATGGTGGGTCCCCGTAGCAGCGAAACTGCATATCGAATCTTTGCTGCGTCCACGACGACGTAATTGGCGTCGAAAAACACGTTCATCGTGAAAATCCACGATTGAACCGTCGGACTCCCGCGTTGGCTAGGTTCGAAGCAGGGCGGGCGCTACGGCTTGCGCGGCATCGGCTCGTAAATGTCGTCGGTGCCTGCTGGTGCCGCAAATCCGACGTGACGACGCGTTTCACGCGGCGTATTCACGGTCGGAGTGGCCCTGTTCCTCGTCATGCCTGGCATTGACTGGGCTGCTCCATCACTGGCTACGCCTGAGCGCTGTCCTATGCTGTCATGCTGTGATGGTGTTCCGGACGAGATGACGATTGGCTCGTCCGACTGTGTAGGTCCATTTGCGGGTGTTGGTGTTGCTGCAGGTGCATTCGTCGCCGACTGCTGGCGGGCGGCGTCAAGTTCTGCCGAGAGTGTCGCAAATTCGAGAGCGGAATTCTCGAGCTGGCTCACCAGGCGATCGAGCTGCTCGTACGGCAGTGTCGCGATATGAAATTCAGCCATGGCGGGGGTGTTGGGCAAGCTCAGCGAGAGCCTCTGTCGTGGCCGTGCGTGCTTACGAGAGAGCACTTCGAGCGGTGGTGCTTGGTCACTGAGAGGCGTCTACCCCCCCCCCCCCCCCCCCCCCCCCCAAAATTGAGATAGTGGGGAAGCGAAGGTGTGGACGCGGTCCGAGAGAAGATCG